TTCTGTTGGTTCTGCTGGGTTCTGCTGGGTTCTGCTGGTTCTGCTGGGTTCTGCTGGGTTCTGCTGGTTCTGCCGGGTTGGTTCTGGTTCAGGATGTCTGAACTTGCCTGAACTTTGATACGCAGCCGGGCATTGAGCCATGTGGTACACCACAACAAGCAGACCCAATAAAGGATCGAAACTGACGATGGAGGTTCTGTTTTGATGGGAAAACCCAAGAAGATGATATCCAACATTTAATAACTTTATAAAATGAGAACTGTGAAGGTTCTGGTCCGGTTCAGGATTTTAACTCTGCTGTTTCAATGTGTTTCCAGAAGAAACTTCAACAGAGATGGATCATTCAGGTTCTGGAAGTGTGGAGGTAACCCATGTATTTATAGTCTTGACCTTTGACCCTGTGTTTAATCTACGTAACATGTGAAACATCAACATGTGGGATGATGTGGTGCAGCAGGACTCCAGCAGCTGGACCAAAGTGGACCCTGAGCTGGACGGGGCGTCTCCAGACCAAGATCCAACTTACAGGTAAAAGCTCAGAGCTTGGAGGTCAGCAGGTCAAACTGTGACATCAGCACCTCAAACTTCCTCTTCCTGTCTGGTTCCAGCCTCCAGTCTGCAGCGGGCCACTTTGAATGCAGCGTCTCTGGTCTGCGTTGGGTCTGCAGGGAGAAGGTGGGCTTTCGGTACCGGTTCTGCTCCTGGGACGGACACATGGAGAGGATGGAGAGCAGAGGATTCCGGCCTGCTGGTCCTTTACTGGACATCTCTGTCCTTACTGGGAAGGTGATGGAGGTGCAGCTGCCACACTGGGTCTGCACCGGTAGGAGAACCTCATGGAAAACATTATTTATGTTTCCAGAACCGATCCAGAAGTTTCTCACAGAGTTTCTCTTCCTGCTGCGTTTCAGACGATGTTCCTGAGTCGCTGAAGAACTTTGCTGTCCTCCATGTTAACGACTATGGAGATGTTCTGGAGAAAGCGACCCGGGTCACAAAGACCCATGTCGGGTTGGCAGACCCAGTTTTCTCTTTGCGGGGAGCTCTGATACATTTGAAAAATTTATTTTGTCCTCCAAGAATCTCCTGCAACACATTAATGTACTATCAGCCCAAAACGTCCTACCTGAAGATGCGCGTCTACCTGATTCCACCGGATCCTGCTCTGAAACAGGTGATCATTTACTCACTGATTTATTTTATAATAATCTTTATTTATCCACATTATGTCATTTTTAGATTAAAGTCTCTGTTTTAGACAAACAGCTTGACATGGAAGGGACAGAACCTGCTGATATGGAGCATAATAATTTAACGTCATCTTATAATTAAATGTTATTTCATTAGAGATGTTTAAACATGTTTTAATACAATAAATGAAAACAATCACAGATTAATCCAGTTACACGTCTTCCTGTTAAATCCTGTTTTCCAAATGATTTTTCTGTTTCTGCAGCATCGACTTTAAACTTGAAGTTTAAAATAAAAACATTTTATAAGCAGGAAGGACTATGAAAACTTTCCAGTCTGTAGTTTTTGTCCCTGTGATCAGAGATGCTTTAGAGTTTTAACTCCTCTGTTCTTAAAGATGAACTGATTTAACGTTTAGCAGCACCAACATCAGCTGAACGCTCAGTTTAGATTATTAATGATATTTACTTTACAGGAATGAAAGGGTGAAACTCCAGAATGATATAAATGCAGACATCATTTCTTCATCCTTATTCTCAGGTGAACTTTTATTTCAGCAGCCCCATGATGCTGTGGGCCAGAACAGAACATTTCAGTATTAATGATCTTTTTTACTTTATTACCTTCCTCATTATGGAACCATATATTTACTGTATATAAATATATAGTATTTACTTTAGATGCAACATGGCAGCAGGTTGATGGTTTCACTTCCTGGGAGAGAGGACTCTCTTCTGATTGGTCGTCAGTGTGAATCACTGGCTGTAGTTTAAAGCTCTTTGGGTTCCTCTGGATCAGATCAAGAGTTTTACAAACATTTTATTGCCTCAGTGTTTCTGTCTCCAGTTAAACTCTTGGACAAACATCTGGTCTGGTTTCTGTCCTGTCAGTTGGTCCACAGCAGAGAATCCTCCAAGGGATACGAAGAAATCATGAAGCCCCGACCAGACAAGCCTCTGAAGACGGGCTGTGGTTTCAGCCTCCAGGCCACCGTAGAGACCGCCAGAATCCAGCCACCGGTACCATTTGGACTTGAAGCCCCACATACTCAGGCGCTCATCACTCTGTAGAGATTCACACGGATCGAAGCAGACACTGACCTGATACGTTCGCACTAAGATCCGTTTCTATGATCTTACTGGGTCACAGTAAACGTCTCGGCAGGAAGCCGTGTTCACATCCAACTGGGTTGGATCCGACACCGAGTGGATCCGGTCGGCACAAACGGTCAGAGAGACGCTTAGCGTGACTCTGACTGATGGCTCAGCATCCAGCCAGCATCAAATTTACTGGCATCCATTCAGATTGTGGGAAATGAAGGAATTCATGAGAAACGTGGGCGATGTGTACGATCAGCTAAATCTGAGCCGTTCACAGCCAGACTGGGTCACAGAACAACACAGAACACCTGAGGATGTGGGAACCTTTAGCTTGAGAAACTCACTTTTCATTTGAGTCCACTTTGGTTCTGATGATGGTATTTAAAACCAGAACCGCCCAGAGTGAATCTGGTGTTATAATCATTAAGCTGCAGGCTGTTTTTATTCCCTGAACCTTTTTGACCTCAGAGTCAAACTGACTTGTTGCTTCACAGGAAATCACTCTGAGGCACGACAGCCAGGACCCGAACTTCTACGAGGTTTTTATTGAGAATCCAGAAGAGAACTTCAACCTGGAGCTGCTGCAGACTCATTCAGAGAAAGTTTGGTTCTGTGAGATTAGGAAAGGTCAGTTTATGTCCTAATTATCACTTCTGTAAACTTTCAGTCTGAACTTCCCTCGTTAACTCGGCTTCATAATTCATGTTTCACATTGAGATTGTTTCTGTTTATTTCTAGATGATCATCCTAAAGCTGGTTCCACTGAAGGTGAGATGCTTCATTTGTTTACAACAAACATTTTATGAAGATATTATTCAATGAGCGACTTTTATATGATCATCTGAACTAGTTGGAAACAGACAGTTCAGTTTGATGGGATGAGTTAGAGCTGCGTCACGTTGATGTTCAGAAAGGAAACTACTGGTTGTATCTTCATCATAACTGAATTTATCTTTAATATTTCTGTGTTTTTGTCTCTGTCAGCTACAGGATGTTCAACAGAAACTGTCACTGTGAAGAAAGAAGGTATGAAATCACAGAAACCATCATTCTGCATGTGAATATTAGACATAACTGACAAATACAGTTTTCTATATTAATAAATTAATAACATGCATTTACATTCAGGCCATGTAACGTAAAGAAATCAGTTTATTTTCAGTCTTTTTCTCTTTGTCATCAGAGGAACATTTTGTGGACAAACACAGAGAGACGCTGATCCAGAGAGTGAGGAACATCGGACCCGTCTTAGATGGACTTTTACAGAAGAAGGTTCTGCTGGAGGAAACCTACGACAGGATCCGATCCCTGCTGACCTCCGAGTCTCAGCTGAGGGAGATCTTCTCCTGCCTGAGAGCTGCTGATGACTGCAAAGACATCTTCCTCTCCATTCTTCAGGAAAAAGAGCCATACCTGATCGCCGACCTCCAGAGGAAATGCTGAGGAGGAACCAGGGACGGATCTACTGCGGGTTCTGGTTCCTGCTGGCATGATGTTACTTTTTAATGAGTAAAAACTGAAACATTTGACCTTTTTAAAGGTTTCCATCCGCTGACCTACCAGAGGTCTGCATGTACAATTATCCTGTTTTTATTTCACATTAAATGAAGCATTTTAATGAAACAATATATTGAAGATGATTGAATAAACTTTAACTCATTTGGGTTTCCTTTGGTAACAAATATAACAATAACATTAATATTGTTGTAGTTTGTGAAATGCTTTTATCTAAACCAGGTTGTTAAAGTGGAACCGTGATGAAAGGTATTGGTCGGGTCCAGACTGAAGTTCTGACCGACTTCCTGTCTCCAGGATTTGAACAAGTCATCAGCCAATCACATTCCACCAACTAAGGAAATATCTTTGAGATCAGTTTGGTGATACTTTATTAAAATCTTAATTCTTAAAGTAAAATCACAAAATCTCAAGACAGTTTCAGATTTTAAAGGCTCAAACTGGATCATTTCAAACAAACAGTTAAAATGAGCTAAGAAACAGAACAGCGGTTACAGCACAGAGAGGCTTAAATAGATCTACCTGCGGGACTGCAGGTAGATCTGTGCAGGTAGATCTGCGCAGTTTCAGTTTCTGCGTCAGTTGACCCCAAACAGGACCGTGAAGGATTTACTGGATCTTTATTAAATAAGTAAATCATTTGAAACGAGCAACAGAAGGTAAAAGTTTTGTTATGAAATTTTAATTTGCCTTTAAGTAAATAATCAAGCAGACCTGGCAGATATTACAGTTTATTTATTACAACATTTATTCAGCTTGATGACTGAACTTCGCCCTGGGAGGAGCGAAGCTCTGAGTTTACGGTAAATAAGAAATTATAATAAAATGTTCTGCTGGTTGCCCAACAGCATCCAGCGTTATTCATGTTGTTTTAGGACATATTCGGTTCATATTCAGAGGTATTAAAATATTAAAAAGGTAGATTAGCTATAGGGACAAAATATCCCCACCAAATTTGTAGTCAAACAGTATTTGTAGCAATAGTGACGCTAAACGGGACTAATGTCTTGTTTACAGTTTGGAAACAGCAAAAGTCATTTATGTTAATATGTTTGATTAACATAGCAGCTTAATTAAATAAAATTTACCGTAAACTTCTGAGAAACAAAACACAAAATGAAACTTCTACAGGTATGACGGGTTTATAAGAAACCTGCTGAGTAAGCGGTATGTGACGTAACATCGATGTGCGCATGCGCATTACCATAAAGGACGCTGGATTGACGGGTATGACGGACAGAACAGGTGTTCACGGCCAATGAAAATAACAGATCAGTTAGAGACGCATCATATCACCACGTCACCAGAATGAATCCACTGAAACCCCCGAAATGTTAACTAAAGAAGTCAGTTTGTGCTTTTTGTGACTACATGAACATAAAGCAGTGAAAAACTGATTCACTGTTTTCGCGGTGAATCAGTTTTTCTGCAGGGTCACTTTAAGGCCGGATGTTGTTATTTCAGCAGGACTTTATTCTTTGATTGCAGGTCAGTTTTGTTTGTGTTAGTTGCCTTCCGCTGAGTTTGGCTCAAATCTGTTATTGATTCTTTGACTTATTTTGCGTTGAAGTTTGATGCTTTGTTAAATATTTGTGGAATTATTAAATTGAAGTTTTTGTCTCATTTTTGAACACATTTGTCCTGGTTTAAGTCTGGTTCCTTACAGTAACACTGAGGTTCTAATACAGTTGATTTGCTCCACACCTTCCCCTATAGCGCTTGGGAGTAACGATGACTTTGTGGCTTAAATTGACCAGCATTCTCTTGGTCTTGTCTACATTTATCTGTCGTTGTTTCTCTGTGCACCTCGTCACAAAATGATCCACCAGATTGCTGAACTCCTCCCGTTCCCCTCCATTCTCCATGTATCCGTTTTACTCTGGCTATCAGTTCATGAATGATAATAAATTATGTGTCCACATCCATTCCGTCCAGCTTCTCCTTTGGTAATCTAGGCTGCTGGTGTTAAAGGTATCAGGTCTGTCCAGGAAAAGGCCCTTCACAGGTATTTAACTGGATCATCCTCTCCTACATGGGGCTGGGATGCACACACCTGTGTCCTCAGGTACATCTGACCTTCATAATGTCAGAGGTCAGAGCTGTCAGTCTGTTTTCATCCTGGACTGTAGGAAATACTTTGCTTGACACTGAGACCATAGAAAGGATTTTAACTTCATTTAGTACTTAAAATGTAAAATAATTTATATTCTAAATGCTCCCACTTGTATATTAGAAGGAAGAAAAAAAACTTTTTGGTTGAATTTAAAATAACTTTTGATTCATAAACAATCTGTGTCACAGAAAGTGACTGATGTAAAACATCCAGAATGCAGCATTAATGCTGAAGTTTTTGTGTTTTATTGTCCAGGTTGGAACGATGGAGACGATCGAGCTTCTGGTTGAAACCCTGCAGCAGCTGAGCCTGGAAGACTTTGCAGAGTTCAGGACTTTGGCTGAAGCAGAGCCGAGCTTGGTGACCTCCAGCAGCCTGGAAGCAGCAAACGTTCGGGATGTTGTTGATCTGATGGTGAAGAGCAGCAGTGGAGAATGTGTGGAGGCCGTCAGAACCGTTCTGATGAAGATGGACCGCTTGGATCTGGTGCAGAGATTGTCAGCTACTGACTCAGGAGGAAAAGGTGAAGCAGAGCAGAGAGAAATGTTTCCTCCTGAATCTGTTTCAGGAAACCTTGTTAGGAAATGTAACTTATTCTGATCAGTGAAAGTTGCCTTGATAAATGAAAACATGTTGGAAAAGTTTTGCTGTTGTGAAACTTTGTGGTTAAAATTTTACAGTCCAGATGATGAAACTTCTGCTAATCAGAATGTTTCTATTTTTCTTGTCAGATGAACTTTCTGTTGATGAAGAACCATCTTTACTGGACCAGAGGGTAAGTAAGGCTGCAGGATGTGGCTGCAGCTGATACTCAGATGATGTGAAATTATCTTAGACACAAATTTATTAAACATTCAAATAAATGATATGTAAAACTCCAGGTTCATGGTTCAGGTTTGGTTGCATTAGATGTTGAGGGAAATTTTGTTTTCTTAGAAAAGTTCAAAGAAACCAAATACAATCCAGATAAATGGTCCTTAGCAATATGCAACATTAAATAGAAAACTGTCCCTTATATAATCAGGATTTACATCATGCACTTTTCATCCATGTTTGTCTAGAAACACATAGGTAAATATTGTTTTCATGTTTTTTTTTCTCTGACTCTCACAGATAGTGAGGCTGAGCAGAGATATTAACCTGATGTTGGAAACACTGGAGGATCTGAATGACAAAGAGTTCAGGGACTTTAAAAGACACATGAGTCCCTTCAGCAACTTCAGGTCCCCCTTCAGTCATCAGGAGATCCAGCTGGACTTGGCAGACCGGCAGAATACAGTGATTTTCATTGTTGAGGCTTCTGGAAAAGAGTCTATAAAGGTGACCAGTGATGTTTTAGAGAACATCAGGAGGAAGGATTTGGTCCAGAAGCTAAGCAGCAGCTCAGCCTCCAGAGGTAAGCTGATAAAACCTGGAGATATAGAAATCAGTCTCACACGGTTCTTAACATGTTTCATATCCTCATTTTGTGCTTTAACAAAGTGAGATCAGCAGTGTGATCACAGTTAAGAAGGTGAGTTAATGAATGAACCAGAATCTTGGGCTTCATCAGGTCAGACAGCAGAGTGAGTGACAGCTGCTGCTGCCAGGGGTGCTGCAAGGGAATCTTGGGCCCCGTGACAAAAAATTTAATTGGGCCCCCTCACGCAGCTACTGTTGCAATTTCTTGAGACTATCTGACCCATCAAAAACGTCACAATTTCAAAGGCTTGCAAGTGCCTTGCTTCTTTGGTCCAATACTGATAACTAGTACAATATTTACTGCTCATGAATGTAACATGCAAGAGTAAAGTTCAGTCTGCATCTAGTCTGCAAGTTGGTTGCTTAAACGTTTTCTATTAGTTTTAGATACTGAATGTCTCTCCATGAGCAACAGTCATANGTTAAGACACCATTGTGAATTGGCTCTAATAAAACTAAAGTAAGGAAAAACAACCTGTCTGTCCAAATGCCAACACCAGTTCAGTTTCCAGGTTACGCTGTGAAAAACAACCGGAGTGATTTCAGGTTCAGCTTCTCTATCCGCGGTTTAGAATGAGAAATCTAAACATGTCCAAGATGCAGTAGAAAAAACAATAAATTAAAAATCATAATCAACTGTCAAATATCAGTGTTGTAATATATCTTATGAACAGTAAAATAGCAGTTAGTCCAACGGCCATTAATACACAACCGACGAACCAAAAGGTTTAAACACGTGTTTAGTTTGTGAATTAAATACTTAGATAGGAAGCTAAATAATTAGTTTAAAAATAAATACTTTGTTCCCAAATAAATATTTAATATGAAGCTAATTATTAGCCAAATAAATATTTAGCTCGCCTGCTAAATATTGACCTCAAAATTAAATATTTACTTTGCTAAATAAGTTAAGTAAATGATTATATTCCAAACTAAGCATTTAATTTCCAAATGTTTATTTTACAAACTAAATATTTAGTTCATACTTAAATAAGTAGCTAACTAATATATTTAGCAAGACAGCTAAATATTTAGTTGCATAAATAAATATTTATTTTGGAGTTAACCATTTATTTAGTTTGTAAACTATTTACTTTTAAAGCTAAATGTTTCGCTTTCAAATTGAATTATTGAAAATGAACTTTTATCGTGTGAATTAAATGATAAATGTGGATCTCTGACCTCTGATCCGGATTATTTCTCACCTTCTGCATCAGAGCAGATTTCCGTTTTCCCACAACATGTTTCTCTAATGGATGAAGCAGAAAAACACTAAAGTCATGAAATATTGACTGTAACATGATCAAATATTATTATTGTACTTTATTGTCTCACTTCCTGTGGATGTGATCAGAGCGAACTCCAGATCGGGCCTCTGCATTCTGGACAGCAGCTCCTCCATCTTGTCCACAGGACGCTGGCTGAACGTCTGCACCAGCAGCAACACGGTTTCCTGCAGGTCTGCATTCATGCCCTGCAGCCTCCAATAGAGGCTTAAATAAGGACAGACAGACGAATCCCAGCTGAGGGCGTTCCTGATATCTGTCACATCCTGGATGGTCAGATCCTCCAACACCTCCAGCAGCTTCTTTATGACAGACTCCATGTCTTTAACCTGATTAAACAATTCAAGCAGCAGACAGAATAATGGAAACCACAACAGGCTGACAGGCTTCAGTCAGCTGGAGTCGGACCAGTTACTCACTTTCTGCTTCAGTTCAGGCCAGAAATCCATCAGAGAAAGTTTCCCTGTAAGTCAGATCCAGTCATTTAGGCCTCAGATTTAAACATTTTAGATTGTAAAGGAAAGAAACATACAACATCTGCCTTTTAAATTCAATATGCTGAAGTGAAAGTTCAGCTTTTGAAACTAAAAACGTTGCAAAAATAAAGACTTCTGTAGAAAGTTCTGATTTAGTATTATTAAACTAACATTTATTTACTTTACTAAATACACATTTTGTTCCAAAATAAATTATTTAGGCAACTAAATATTTAGCTGTCTTGCTAAATATATTAGTTAGCTACTTATTTAAGTATGAACTAAATATTTAGTTTATAAAATAAACATTTGAAAATTAAATGCTTAGTTCTGAATATAAATATTTATTTAACTTAATTAGCAAAATAAATATTTAATTTGGAGGTAAATATTTAGCAAAGAAGCTAAATATTTATTTGGCTAATAGTTAGTTAAAAAATAAAAACATCCAACTGTACATTTGAATATTGGAGCAAAATTACAGAAAATATTTAAATATAACATCCGAGCAGATCTGGAGTCCAGAATCAAGAGTTCAAATAAAACTGCTCAATTTCTCTTATTTTGTTTTATTTGGTTAAAAAAAATTTAAATAAAAAAAACAAAACAAAACAAAACAAAACAAAACAAATAGTCCATTTTCAAAATATATTGTTATAAAAACCAGTGCTGTTCTGCAAATGACTTATAAATATTTTTGGTTACCTTTAGCGCTGGAAGTGACCAGAGGAAGCTTCTCTACCAGGTCCGACTTGTCCAGGTCCATCAGAACCTCCTGAGCCAGCGCCAGGCACCGATCACCGCAGGTGGTCCACATCATGCTGACCAACTGCGTGCGGTTTGAAAACTGCAGGGCGCTCCATGGGACCTGAGGCAGAGCCTGCTGGAGCTGCGTCAGCTGCAGGAACCATTTGAACTTCCAGAACTCGGCTTCTTTCAGGTCCGTCAGGATTTCCAACAGCAGGTCCACAGCTGACACCTGAAACGTCACATCAGCTCCAACTAGTCAAGGTCGTGACCTCTGGGTCTTTGTTTATTGGTCAGTTCTTTTGGACTTAGAAGGAAGATACTCTTATGTAATTTATAAAACTCACTCTTTGTCCTGAGCAATTTTGTGTGTGAACATCGACTGGAACCAAACTGTGATAAAAACTTATAACTAGAGAAATCAAATATTTAAGTTTACAAACAAATCACACCATTTCTAACGTTACTTAACCTCAAATTTAATCAAAGCTTCAAACCTCAAAACACGAATGATTAAAAACAAAAATCATTCCCCTTTTAGTTATAAATTTGACGTATCAAAAACATATTTATATATTTTAAAATGATAGAATATCATTTATATAGATACATATCTCCAAAGCAGTCAGCCTGGATGGAGTAAAGCGGCTTTTAGCCTCTTTGATCACATGACTCCAGAAGGTCAACACGTTTGCAGGTGAAATTTAGCAGTTAATACAAAATGTATGTAAATATTTTCACAGGATAAACATTCAGTTTTAAATTCAATGTATATGAAAAAGTCATATTCTAAGGAGACAGTATATCTTTAATATTCAGTCACTTTGTAAATCCCCTGAGGTGAAGACCCTCTGCACTCGGTTTGGTTTGTTCCTCTCATGTCACTGATCGCCTCCCAGCAGTTATAAGCCTGTCAGGTTATTTACCGACTTGTCGGTTCACAGCCACAGATGTTCCAGTGTCGTCCTGTTTGCTGCTGGTTTCCAGTTTTAGCAAATGGTCAGCATGTGACCCAAACTAACAACTAAACCTTTAATGACCAATCATCAAACCAAAGTAGTAATATTAATAAGTCCCACATGTGATTTTAAAACAGCAAACTACAAGTTAGTTGGAAAAGCATTTCTCTAGATTATTATGAATCTACAAAACTACAGATAAGATTGAACTAACTTTATACGTCCAGTTTTCTGGAAAAATGTCAAACAAACCTTCAGATCAGATAAATGATCATTTTATTAGTTTCTGATCAGATAAATGATCATTTTATCAGTTTCTGATCAACCTGACTTCCTGTGGACTTCCAGTCTAAAAAAGCATTGTGATGTAGGGAAGAGCATTTATTTACATTTGTCAATGTAAAAAAATGACTGAAATGTGAATTTTACTATTTTACCAGTTCTTTTCCATGAGAGGATCAATAAATCTCAATACATGTGAAAAATAATTAAATGAATTCTCTTCGTGCAGTTAGTGATATAAATCATTTTCTTTCAGTGAGAGGCGTTCTGAAAAAGCTAACAGGAAGGTTTTTCCATTTATGTGTGAGGCGCTTTACAGTTATCTAATAACTAAGAAATAGTTTATCATTTCTATTGTTATAACAACAGTGACGCAATATATCATGATAAAATTATTATATGGCCACCTGATGATTATGAGGGTTTTATCTGCAGCATCACAAAGATGCGACGTCACTCACCCTGTGGATTTCTGCAGGCAGAAGATCATCAAACCGCTTTTCTGGAGAGGAAAGAGAAAAGAAAAGATCTGAGGAAAAACAAAATATCTGACATGTTTAAAGTTGACATCTCTTGTTGTTTTGTCCTGAAAATGTTGAGTCGTCTTACTTTTGGCCGTGGAGCTGCCGACCTGCATGGCGTCGACCAGATCCGTCATGTTCATGAACCTGCTGGGTCAGTTCCAGCCTGCCGCCAATCAGAACCACACAACCGCCTGCAGCGCCTGCTGCCCCTCACCAACCCTCAGACAGCGCCGTCTCCGCAGGAGGTCACTGAAGGTCACTGGGACTCAGCTCACCCAGCAGCAGCTCCACCAGGGACTCCATCAACTCCACCTGCTCAGGTGAGAAAACCACCAAAAACCAGGAGAAAGATTTAAAACTGAGGGACGAAAACGTTCAAATAAACGTTCAAATATCAGTAAAGAGAGAATGTAAGGTTCTTTTAACAAAGGATGGATGGATGGATTTGAGTTTTAAGCCTCCATCTCTCCTTCCTGGTGTTGCATCATGGGAAATAAACAGAAAGAAAACTAATAAAAAGTAAAACAATAAAATAAAGCAAAACTTTATCAATAAATCCCAACATTAAGCTCAAATGTTGATTTATTTTCTCTTTCTGCTGTTCAGAGTTAAAATAAAAGCTAGAAAATGATGAACCCGGAAGAAATCAGAAAATGAAACTAAATAAATCATCGGCTCTGCAGTTCATCCTCCTCGTTTCATTCTAACGTCAATATGCAAATGAAGCTGAAGGTGAAGTGTTGTGAAAAACACGAGAACAAAATGTTTCCTCCAGGTGAAAAAGACGCAGGTGAAGCGGAAGTGAATGTCTGGAGGTGTGAACGCGTCAGGACGCGGTTATTAGACATGAAAGCATCCAGAAAGGAAACTTCTCCTACCTGCTGCTGGTGTTTCCCCTCTGAAATCCTGCAGCGGTCCCTCATTTTACTGCAGAATCATGTTTCAGAGGAGCTGCAGACTGCCGCCGTTCAGGCCTGGTGTTTAACACAAACTGGTGTTCAGATCAACTGCTGCCCTGAGCCTGAGGAGAGGAGGAGCTAATGATGATCTGCAGCTTAACATCCGGTCCAACAGCAAGCCTGTTCATCCGCAGTTCCTCCAGTTTTAACCAGTAAAGGAGGGGAAATATTTCATTTATTTTTACTTTATTCAACCAGGAAAGACCCGATGACATGTAAAATCCAGTTTCCATGGTGACCTGGATGAAAACAGAACTGAAAAACATGAAACACAACATTTTACAAAAAGTATAACATCAATAATCACCAAAATGTAAATAAAGAGAAATAAGACACATAAAACAGTCAAATAATTAATCAGTCAAAACATTTGCATTGATGTGGAGCAAAACAACCTTTAACAGGTCAAACTGGGTCATTACAAACATTCAGTTCATTAAATATCACCAAACAAGATGAGTCAGCAGGAACGTTTTTACTGTTGGTTCTGATTCACTGATCAGTTTTTAGTGGTGAATATTGACATCATATTGATTAATATTACAGAAAATGATAAAATTATATAAGTTCTTTTAATATGAAAGCAAATTATCAAAACCTGACAAAGGAAAATAAACATAACAACAATATTATTTTGCAGTTAATAGCTTTCAGGACTTGAAGCTTCCTGAAGAAAAATCCATGGATTTTTATTGATCAATAAGTATTCATACTTATTGATCAATAAAAATCTCCAGTAACCTGGTGTGTCTGTAGCAGAGTTCAGGTTGATTCTCAGTGTTGGGGTCGCCAGGAAGCTGATGGTTTTCTGGAGGTTTTTATATTATTATTATTTGTTTCGACCAGTTGCGCAAAAAGTGGGTGCAGCGTCAAAACCCCGTCTGTAGGGGGCGCCAGTTCATGTTTTCCCATCCACCTGAATAATATGGAGTTGCCACCCTGGTTTCGACCAACTGGAACTTATTGATGGTCCCTAACCGAACCGAACCGAACCGAGCGGCTCCAGAGCCTCTGGCCGCTGTCTCTGTAACAACACACGGCCTGCAGAGAATCTGACAATATTAACTTTACTGCGGGAGGAAACAGGAGGACGCTGCTGTCGGACCTGGCCTCCCTGTTCCGCCATCTGCAGCCGCGGGTTTTATCAGCTGTTTAAAGAGGAAAAGGACTTACTGTCACTTTAAATTTATGGATTAACTGGATTAATTTCAAACGAGAAATTTATTTTTAAAATTCATTTTGCGTCACGTTGATGTTCAGAAAGGAAACTACTGGTTGTATCTTCATCATAACTGAATTTATCTTTAATATTTCTGTGTTTTTGTCTCTGTCAGCTACAGGATGTTCAACAGAAACTGTCACTGTGAAGAAAGAAGGTATGAAATCACAGAAACCATCGTTCTGCATATTAGACATAACTGACAAATACAGTTTTCTATATTAATACATTAATAACATGCATTTACATACATGTTAAATCAGATGAAAAAAAAAATCAAATATTTTCTGAGGGTGCTATGACTTCTCCAGGAGGAGCTATAGCACCCCTTAGCGCCCCCCCTGGCGCCGCCACTGCTGACAACATTAATAAAAATGAAATCTTGCTATATCTGGATCCTCTGGAGGGCAGGTTGCTACAATGGGATAATGTAACATGACTTTATATTCCCTTTTCTTGTAATACCAATCCACACTCCCTACCAGCTGGCAGCAGTAATGCACAATTACGTTGTTTGTTGAACACCAATAAATACCAAAAGAAAAAGAAGAAGCTGATCAGTCCAGCAATCCAGAGATGCCAACTTCCTCCTGCCGTTGGAGCTTCACAGAGTTTCACTTTCTGCTTTAGTGGCTGCAAAAACAGAAACATGAAGGACTTACTGTAACTTATGGATTAACTGGATTCATTTCAAACCAGCAGCAGGTAAAAGATTTATTAAACAGGACTCTTGTCTTTTTTACTTTTAATCTGTCTTAATTAACATCCTATAACATTAAGAACATCAGCCATAGACGCTCTTTTCCAAAACATGCAAATTTGACAAAGTGTTAGTTTTGTTGTTACAAAAACCATTTTAATTTTAAAAGCACAGTATGAATATAAAATTTACAAGGCCTGTTCAAAGGATTTCCATTGTCAGTTTCTTAAAATGGAGCGGAAAGCTTTCTGAGAAAACATTTCTGACAGTTTCGGTTCAGAAAGACGTTGTTCCGAACAGCGGAGCCAGAGGAACTGAAGGCTTTATTACCTGTTTCTGTTCCAGCAGGGGGAACAAAGAATTACAAAGAGTCATTTGATGGTGAGCCATAACGGCTTTCAATTATGCAAAGAAAAAGTTCATAAATAAGAAGGAACCAGGCCAATAAGAACATTTAAACCAGAGTCAGCAGTGTGTGTGTTGAAAACATGCCGGCTCCAGCATGCAGCTCAGTGGTGGTGAGGCACCACAGACCAGAGCCTTGGAGCACAGCGGCACCTTTCAGGAATTAAAATAAGGGCCACCGACCAGCCCTGAGTCGTCCTGCTCTCATGGGGCGGGATGGCTGCTGCAGTGATGGACAATATTTTATGGCAGTGTTTGTTGTACAAAAAAAGAAAGATTCACACATAAAGGTTAGAGTACTCCAAAATTGTATTCCAATCAGAGTAGCATAACTTCAACAATTTTTACTTACGTAGATTTACTTAAGCTTTAATTAAGCCGGTGTAAAAAGTGCCTGTAAAAGTAACTGGTCATAACTCCTGATTTAATATTCAAAATATGTCATCAGACAGCCAAAAATATAAAAGTTATGTGAACATTCTGGTATTTTAAAGAATATTAACAAAATATTTATAGAAATAAGGAGTTAGGTTTGGAGTTTTCAGGACTAAATCTACCACGAGGGCCAGGGTAGTCAGTGTTTTTTCATGGGGACACTTAAAAACGAATGAAACAAAAACACAGAGCAATATTTTATTATTTGATATTGTGAGCCAAAGAGCCACTTGCATCTCCAGAGATCTAGACATCATCAAGAACTTCCCGTTCCAATTGGAGAACCAGCATCCTGCATCCTGGTGAACTCGGTAAGAACAGACTTGACTGTTCTTGCAGGTATGTACTTGCCAAGAACACAAGAACATACTTGCATACTGGAGTATTGAGAAATGGGTGGTATTCATGTCTGTGGGTGGGAGCTGCACAGGAGCCCCCCGAGCATGATGCTGCCACCACTATGTTTGACAGTGAGGATGGTGTGTTCAGAGTAATGTGAAGTGTTTTTACACATTGTGCATTTTATTTCAATTTTACATGTTCTGTAAAGTTAAACTTTGACATGAAACTAATGGTGTCACAGAAAGTGACTGATGTAAAACATCCAGAATGCAGCATTAATGCTGAAGTTTTTGTGTTTTATTGTCCAGGTTGGAACGATGGAGACGATCGAGCTTCTGGTTGAAACCCTGCAGCAGCTGAGCCTGGAAGACTTTGCAGAGTTCAGGACTTTGGCTGAAGCAGAGCCGAGCTTGGTGACCTCCAGCAGCCTGGAAGCAGCAAACGTTCGGGATGTTGTTGATCTGATGGTGAAGAGCAGCAGTGGAGAATGTGTGGAGGCCGTCAGAACCGTTCTGATGAAGATGGACCGCTTGGATCTGGTGCAGAGATTGTCAGCTACTGACTCAGGAGGAAAAGGTGAAGCAGAGCAGAGAGAAATGTTTCCTCCTGAATCTGTTTCAGGAAACCTTGTTAGGAAATGTAACTTATTCTGATCAGTGAAAGTTGCCTTGATAAATGAAAACATGTTGGAAAAGTTTTGCTGTTGTGAAACTTTGTGGTTAAAATTTTACAGTCCAGATGATGAAACTTCTGCTAATCAGAATGTTTCTATTTTTCTTGTCAGATGAACTTTCTGTTGATGAAGAACCATCTTTACTGGACCAGAGGGTAAGTAAGGCTGCAGGATGTGGCTGCAGCTGATACTCAGATGATGTGAAATTATCTTAGACACAAATTAGTTGATTAAACTTTAAAGGAAATGTAGGAGAGATCCAGATGCTTGGTTCAGGTTTGGTTGCATTTAATCTGGGAATGTTTGAGTTCTTAGAAAAGTTCACAGAGGCCAAATAAAATATACCTTAGATAAATGTTGCTTAGCAAAGACTTAAAGTGAAAATAAAGATTGGAATTAGAAACTGTTCTTTATATGACCAGGATTCATAAACCTGTTATTTTTAAACATACAGTCTGAAAACATGTTTTCTATGCATTTTCTTTGACTGTCCTAGATATTAAAGTTGAACAGTGATATCAAGCTGCTGCTGGAAACACTGGAACATCTGAGAGATCAAGAGCTCAAGGACTTTAAAAAGATTCTGAGTCATGTTTACCTCATGCATTTACCCAGAAAGCAACAGAGGCTGCAGGAGGTGGTAGACCTGCAGGAGACAGCGGACCTGGAGGATACGGTGATTTTCATTGTACAGACCAATGGTGAAAAGTCCTTGGTGGTGACCAGAGATGTTCTAAAGAACGTAGGGAGGGAGGACTTGGCCCAGCGGTTGTTGGGCAGCAGCTCTCCCTCCAGAGGTGAGCTGATAAACCCTGGAAACGTAAAAATAAGTCGCACATGTGTACTGCGACAGGTATTGCATAAATGTTTGGCTTTGTAACTATTAATAACTCTGCTTAATAATTTATCATTAACAAAATGATTAATAGGTTTGAAGTCTCTTTATTTTATCCCATGCTGTCTGATCACATTACCAATTGAAAGCATATCAGGTGTATTGGTCCAAACACTGAACCTTGTGGTGCTCCATCATCCTGGATGATGATGAAGGAGATTTATCATTTACATGAACAGAGTGGAATCTGTTCCACCAATCAGATTTAAACCAGCCTCGTTCTGTTGCTTTGTTTAAGCCTTTTCACATTTAAACCTTTCTAACAGAACATTGTGGCTGATGTCTCAAAAGCAACACTGAGATTTAACACAACCAAAACCAACACAAATCTGAAAATACCATTAGTAACTTTCACCGCTGCAGTTTTGTGCTCTGAAATCTGACTGAAAATCTTTAAGTATGTTGAAAGTTCATCGGTTGTTTAAAATACGCCTCTGTCAGAGAAGAGGCTCTGCTGCACACTCTACATGAACAAAGAGTTTGTATTGCACTACAGAGTAGTGCACAACCTGAGGGAAATCAAGCCAATGGAGTAAATTGTGAGTTTAGATGTACAACACAGGCTGCGACGCAACACGAGGAAGTGGAAAATTGTTGTTGGGGAAACCTTTTATCTTTCGCTGTTTGGTAAATCTCACACATTTGATAACATTGTTTTGTATTTTAAAATCTTACCTTATGACATATAGTGATTAGATCTGTTGATTATACTTTTCATTTGTTTTTCTCAGAGATGCCGTTGGGAAAACATCCATCTGCTCTGATCCATAAAGTGAGTAAATCTTGATTTTCCAGATCAGTGGACAGCAGAGGAAAATTATTATGATTATTCTCGTCTCTCTGTGAAGAAACGTCCTGAAAAATCTTCTTGAATCTCCAAGGTGGCGACCATGGCAGCAGTTAAAGATGTTCTTCTGGAAACTCTGGAGGATTTAAATGAACCTGAATTCATTGAGTTAAAACTGTTACTGCAGTTCACAAAATTCCAGAGAAATCTTCCACTAATCCGATGGGATGAACTGGATGATACAAACAGAACCAGAGTGGTGGATCTTCTGGTCAGTACATGTGGTAAACAATCTGTGGAGGTGATCAGGGAGGTTCTATTGGACCTGAACAGAACCGATCTGGCACTGAGGCTGCCTGAGACCAGCTCAGCATCTAAAGGTACCACATGGTTGGATCTTTAACATCCGATGAAACTCAAGCATCAATCAGAGCTTCAATCTGGATTAGTTAGTCTCTGTCTTCTAACTGATTCAGAATAAAATGATTTGAAACCAGAATCTGTGATAACTGATCAATGTTTCATCTTTTCCTCAGAGAAACTTCCTATGAAGCTGAACTCTGCTTTTCTCCAGAAAGTGAGTTGTCAGTTTTTAGTTAATAAATGTGATCTTTATCCTGAGGAGTTTGTTTCTTCTAGAGCTGAATCAGCTTCTGGTAGCTGCTCATGAAGAAGAAACTCCTGGTTTAATGAAAAGAGCTCTGACGTGTTTCAGCTGACAGATGATGAGTTTTTATTCTCCAGGTGGAAAAGTTGGAGTCTGTGACGGAGCTGCTGCTGGAGACACTGGATGAGCTTGATGAGGGAGAGATCGAAAAGTTTTCAGAAAATTACAATAAAATTGACCATCAGAGTGAATATATACCGATTTGGGAAACCAGATTAATAAATGTGCGATACATTGTGGTGGTTTTTGTTCTGACTTATTTCCACCAGTCAGTGGAGAAGACCATGGATGTTTTAAAGCAGATGAAGAAGGATGATCTGATAGCGAAGCTGTCAGGCAGAAGCTCAGGACCTAAAGGTTCAACATCTCAGACTAAAACATCTCAAACTTCTCAGAATGGCTGATAACTGTGTTGTGATGTTTCTCTGCATGGTTTTGATCACATCGTATTATGTTGCACAAAGAAGCGATGGTCAGACTTTTCTCCTTCCTGTTTTCTCCTCAGAGAAACCTTCTGCAGGTCAACATCGTTCTGCTCTGAGCCACAAAGTGAGTAAAGAGACATCAGGAGTTTATTTCCTGTCCTTCAGCTGAAAGAGTTTAAAACAAAGATCATTTATAACCTCTAGGATTTAATGTTTGGTTCTGAGGAAATAAGCTGCAGTTTACTAATGTGATGAATCTTAGCCTCCATGTTTGTGATTTTCTCCTGAATGAAGCAGCTTTCTCTAGAATGAACTGAATGTTTCAGGTGGCAACGATGGCAGCTGCTAGACAGCAACTCCTGGAAACTCTGGACAAATTAACCCAGGAGGAGTTTTTAAAGTTTAAAGAAAGTTCATCAAAGTTTTCACAAAGATTGGAGTTCATGACAGAGAGAGCAGAAGTTATTGATGAGATGATGGAGAAGTTTGGCCAGGAGTCTGTGAAGATGATCAATGAACTTCTGATTGAAATAAACAGAAAAGATTTGGCTGAGAATCTTCAAGAAACTGGTGAGAAACATTAAATCTGTCATAAGTCTAGTCATGTTTTTTTATGTTTTATGACGCTAGCATTGTATTTCAACCAAAATATAATTTAATGTACACACACACACACACACACACACACACACACACACACACACACACACACACACACACACTCTCACACACACACACACACACACACACACACACACACACTTTGTGTCACTTTCTTTGTGAGGACTTTCCATTGACTTCCATTCTTTTCTACATCTTAACCCTAACCAATCCTCAATTCACGTGTTAGTCCTAAAGCTAACCCTTAACCCCAAAACTGCATTTCTCCTTGTGGGGAGCACCCTTTGGTCCCCACAAGGAGCTGTGAGTCCTCACAACGTAATGTGTCAAGAAAACGGTCCCCCACTGTATAGCACCTGCAGCTGCATGGCTGTACGCACTCTGCGTACCCTGAGATTTTCCTTTGAGTAGAATATGTATATATGTAATTATTGTACTTTTATTGTTTTTCCCTTTGCTATTCACAAAATTGTGGAAAAAAATTAAAATTGTTTTTGTGTCTAAATATTCTGCATGTAGCCCACATCTGCATGGGTCTGTGGGGGTAGGTACGTGTCTGTCCTAAACCTAAATGTTACTTTACTTTTATTTGGCAGCTTGGCTCTTTCTGTAAGCTAAATGTGACTATGAAGTAAAGCTAGCTAAAAATGAGTCAGCTGACTTTTCATCCTCCTCCTCCCATGGACCACATGGGTAGGCTTTACTTTTCCATCTATTTTTTAGTGTAATTTGTCAAAAAACAAATGAAAGTTGTGTATGCAGGAATAAGTGTGTATCTGTGTTTGTGTGGCATTGTGTGGAACACATTGGGATGTGTGTGGATTAGATGTGATATTCATGCGCATCTTGTTCCTATATCATATTTGTGTCGATTAGGTTTGTGCAGTTGATGCATGTTGGAGATGCGGCTGAGTTCGTGTGGATTAGGTGCAATGATAGTTTTATGGGTACCCTGAGATATGATCTTACCTTACCCATGAGGCATCCAATACATGGGGCACACATACACACACATACTTGTTTTCCATACACTGTGAGGACTTTATTTAGCCAGTAATTAGGTGGTCACACATGGGGACACAATTTTTTAAATGAGATAAAGGTTTGGTTTTAATTTTGGATGTTTTGGTTTTAGATTTGGTTATTTCATGTTCCAGGGATCCTGGAACATGAAATATCATCTTTAATATAAAAATTAAGGAAATTTAGAAAATTGAAAATCTGTCAAGTTTTTGGATTCACTTGTGTACATGTCCATCACCAACTACCACCAGGTGGCACTTTTTAAGTTTAGAGAACACTGAGATCCATATCAGGATGTCAAATATGAGTAATAATAGTTCTTTTAAGTCAATAAACTACATTATATTAGATTTTTTGTTTAAAATTATTTTTAAGTACCTGGCAACCTGTTTACTGCCAATCATCAATACTGGACTCCACTTTCTGGTTGTATCTGAAAAAATTGTATTGCACCAAAAAAGTCTACATACAAGATAACATACATGCTTCAACGTGTTTCCAGAAGAAACTTCAAGAAGTTTGGATTCTGTGGATTGTGGAAGTGTGGAGGTAACCCATGTATTTATAGTCTTGACCTTTGACCCTGTGTTTAATCTACGTAACATGTGAAACATCAACATGTGGGATGATGTGGTGCAGCAGGACTCCAGCAGCTGGACCAAAGTGGACCCTGAGCTGGACGGGGCGTCTCCAGACCAAGATCCAACTTACAGGTAAAAGCTCAGAGCTTGGAGGTCAGCAGGTCAAACTGTGACATCAGCACCTCAAACTTCCTCTTCCTGTCTGGTTCCAGCCTCCAGTCTGCAGCGGGCCACTTTGAATGCAGCGTCTCTGGTCTGCGTTGGGTCTGCAGGGAGAAGGTGGGCTTTCGGTACCGGTTCTGCTCCTGGGACGGACACATGGAGAGGATGGAGAGCAGAGGATTCCGGCCTGCTGGTCCTTTACTGGACATCTCTGTCCTTACTGGGAAGGTGATGGAGGTGCAGCTGCCACACTGGGTCTGCACCGGTAGGAGAACCTCATGGAAAACATTATTTATGTTTCCAGAACCGATCCAGAAGTTTCTCACAGAGTTTCTCTTCCTGCTGCGTTTCAGACGATGTTCCTGAGTCGCTGAAGAACTTTGCTGTCCTCCATGTTAACGACTGTGGAGATGTTCTGGAGAAAGCGACCCGGGTCACAAAGACCCATGTCGGGTTGGCAGAACCAGTTTTCTCTTTGCTGGGAGATGTGATAAAAGACTTCTTTCATCCAAAAATCACCTGCAACACATTAATGTACTATCAGCCCAAAACGTCCTACCTGAAGATGCGCGTCTACCTGATTCCACCGGATCCTGCTCTGAAACAGGTGATCATTTATTTCATTATCTCCTTTACTTATTTTCACCATGTAATTATTTAAGCTCTAATAACTACAAAACACACATAAACTGAGGCACTGTGTTGAAACGTTTTACAAATTATTAGATCTAATTGTCATGAAGTGTGGTGTGCATGTGGTGAGAGATCCAGGTTGATGAGTGGAAAAAAAAGATGATTTTCCTGAAAACAGTCCACAAAGTTCCAAATACAGGCAGCACAGTTCAGCAGCAGACAGAGGCTCGAAAAACTGGTAGCAACTGTTTAACGGGGAACATCTGAACGAGGATAAGACCCGACAAGGACACATAGACACAGGTGACATTAAAGACACGGAGGGTAATCAGGGAACAAGGCCGTGGTTCAGTTCATTTTAATGTGTGAAGCTTGTTGCCTAAATTGGATTTTACAAATTTCTGAGTTCCTACAACTGATCGTGATGTTTTAGTATGATCAGAAATGTGGCTGAAGAAATCTATAACTGATCATGAAATTGAGTTTGAAGGCTTCAAAGTTTCTAGAGCTAATAGTTTTGGAAAAGGTGGAGAATCAGTTTAAGTTCAATCTGAATTTCAAAGGTCCAACCCAGCGGAAGAAGATGGATAAATTTCAAAACAAACAATTCGTTGCTTGCTAGTAAAGTGTGTCCTACTAATGTCTTTCACCTTACCTCATTAGGTTCCTACAGACCACAATCTATAAAAGCTGAGACTCTTCACAGCTGTGTCACATAAACTCTGCAGCACTGAACTTATACTTATGGGTGATTTAGAATGGCTTCTTATGTCGACACAAATCCTGTCTGAAGCTGGAGAAGAGCTTGTGCAAATAACTTTTCTGAACATGTTGGACTATGGAGTCATTTTCTACATGAAAGCAGCATTAATAGTTCTGTTATCTAGATATTTCAGTGTGTTCCATTTTGTCACAAATGCTGCATTGAGGACTCACCGTTGTCAAAGTTACGTCTTCCTCTCATGGCTTTGACTAAGTCAAAGTAGACTTTTTGTGTTCATAAGTTTGAAAAAGGTGTTTTGTGAGTGGACTGCTTTTGTTGTATAGTTCTACTTTGCATACCCTGAAAGCTGCACTTTAGATTTTGGTTGTTCACCTGCAACATGATGATTTTTAGCTTCATTCTGTGAGAGAGAGGACTTTTATCAGTGTTGTGTTCAAGACCACCTAACCCGAGACCAAGACAAGACCAAGACCAGAGTGTA